AGCAAATGAGCAGATGGGATCACTTGTAGGGACAGGACATGGAGAAACCATGCGATCATGTGAACACTTTGAGTCTAAGCTGTATTTTAGGTGGTCCAGAGGAGCTGTTTGGGAGCCACAGAGTACTGGAAGCTGCCTTGTATTGGCTCCTGAGAGTTAATTGTTACGTTTTCAGGAACTTTAAATGTGATCATTATTAGGGATTAAATTGAATAAATTACATTGAAAACAAAAATAATACTCAAGAATTTATCACTGTCTACATTTTACTATTATCTCTGTTCTTGAGGTTACTTATGTCTATTCTATCTGTATGACCACAGTACCTTACCATGGTAGCTACTGTGCAGTTCTTGCCTTCAGTGATGTCAGAATGGAAATTGATATTTGGCAAATCACAGAAACTGGCAGATGCTATGAATCAGTCTTTCTCTCCTCTCTGAGAGCCAGTGGTTAAGCATTTATCTTACCACATCATGTCCAAGAGGCAGCTCATGAAACAAATTTGGGCTGGAAATACCATCATGAGCTGCATCAGAATACAGACCAGGGCTACTTCAAGGATGGGTGAAAGTCTCTGCACTGAACAGGACCCTGTGCTTGGTTTAATTGTCTGTTGTTGCCATCTTGAAATTCTTAACTCTTGAACTTGGGCCACATGCTTTCATTTTGTACTGGGCTGGTATAGGGTAGTGGGGAGTTTTAGGCAGGTGGGGTATTGGTGCTTAATTGCCAAAATTCCTCAAAACAGGTATGCCATCTTTCTCAGCTATGTGGTAGCACACACATTCTCACAGCGACTTTCCTCATTCATCTCTCAACCTGTGTATTCCTATGACCAGCTCTCAGAACTTCCCTCTTCTGTTTTCTGACTGTATCATTCTCTTTGGCCTTCTTTTGAAAACAGTTAACTTTGAAGGCATCTATGTATTCCATGACTTTCATTAAAATGTTCCTGCCAAAGACTGCGATGTCCCACACATTTATGGTTCATATTGGTATAACAGGAAATAACATAGAATCGGGTTAGAATCCTTGTGTACTAGTTAGGCAAATTTCCTTGGTTTCTCTGCACTGCAGTTTCCTTATCTGAGGAAAGAGTAGTATTTACTTCTGAAAGTTATTGTGAACACTGAATTAGATAATGTATGTAAAGTGTCTAATGTAATGTCTGGTACAAGGTTAAGTGTTCAATTAATGGCAGTTATTTATATACGATGAATTAGGAACACCAAGTTATAAAATTTGGGCATGACAGTACTAAGATGTTAGGAGTTGAGGGACACAGGCAGAGATGTGCTGCAAAATTTCAACTTCTTAAGCACAATTTTCCTTGTCCCACAATATATGTGTCCCAAACTGGACTGGACAAGGCAATTCTTTACTGAGATTCTTAGTGTTCTCAAAACTCGTCTCTCCTACCTACCCCACTGACTGATCTAATAATTCACACAAACAGCATAGACGTGGACTCTCGGGCATGGCGAGCTATTTACCCTTCTTGTAGAGACATCTCCAGCCCGGATAAAACTACTCACATGACTGGCACTCAAAATATCGCGGTGTGTCATCTTCCCAGATGTGTGCCTGACACACAGCAGGCGCCCCTTTACTGAGTGACCTCATGATAATGCCACCGGGCTTCCACGTTATCCCCAAAACCCTGTCACTTCTTTCGCGCTGCAGCCAGAGCAGCCGGCAAAGCCCAAGGGAGCCAGGCACGCGCCAGGCCTAGTTCACGGACTCCGCTCCCCACGCGCGAGGCCCAGGTTGCTACGGAAACGGCGAGAAATAACAACTCGGTTCCCCTCGGGCTGAGCGAGGCCCACAGAGGTAACAGCAGCGGGAGGAAGAGCGCGGGCCACGCGCGGCCACCGCGGAACTCACGGCGGTGCCAGCCAGGCCCAACCACAGCGCGGCGCACCCCCCCCTCCACCCCGTCCCACCCTGCGCCCCCGCGCCCCCCGCCCGGCCCGGCAGGTCCGAGCCGCCCCCTCGCCCGCCAGCCCCAGAGCGGAGGTAGGCACCAGCGGGGCGGGAGTGTCCCCGGGGACCCCACTGTCAGTCCGGGTCCTCTCTCGCGGGCTGAGCCGCGCGCCACTGCCGGCTGTGTTCATGTGATGCCCACCGGGTCATGGGGGAGGACGAGGGTCCTGGGCGCACGAGTCTTACGTTTTTTTCGGCAACGAAAATTCTAGCCAGGGTCTTAATTACTTTCTTGGGGTGGGGTGGGTGTGTGCAAACGGGAGATTGAGATTTAAGGGTGCAAAAAGAGAGAAAAGAAAGTCAAGCTGTTTGGGCTCAGTCACCCAGATGTGATGCTAGAAATGGAGTTTTGCCATATTTATCTGGTGGGGTGTGTGTGTGTTAGGACCCCCCCTCTCCTGTCCTAACTCGGGGCAGAAGTTTGAAGCCCCCGCGCACCTTGCTTGCTACGGGCGGCGTGTGAAACAGGTAGGCGAGCGCTCATTGGCTGCGCTCGCCGGGTGAAATACTTGAACTTGCGCCTGGGTCCTGCAGCCCCCGTAGTGTCTCCGCAGGGTGGACGCGCGAGCGCCCGGCTGCTACTCCTCTGTTACTCGTGGGTCTGTCGTTTCCCATTCCTTGCAGGAGGCGATCCACGCCGTGTGTGCCGTGAGGCCACCCGGGCAGAGCAGGTGCCTGCCCCTGAGAATCGAGCAGTGGCGGCGTCCCGCGGGGACGATGAGCGGTACCAGTGCCAGGTCCAGTCACCTGTCCCAGCCGGTCGTGAAGAGCGTGCTGGTGTACCGCAATGGGGACCCCTTCTTCGCGGGGCGCCGAGTCGTCATCCATGAGAAGAAGGTGTCCAGCTTCGACATCTTCCTGAAGGAGGTGACCGGAGGCGTCCAAGCGCCTTTTGGAGCGGTCAGGAATATCTATACCCCGCGGACCGGCCACCGCATCCGGAAGCTCGACCAGCTCGAGAGCGGGGGCAACTACGTGGCTGGGGGCCAGGAGGCCTTCAAAAAACTCAAGTGAGTGGGTCTGTCCCTGTCGCCCGCCATGTCAGGGTGAGCTAGTGTGAGGTTGATGTGAGGAAATGAATGGCCCCCGCCCCATGCACTTCTTGGTGACTTGGAAATACGGTGCCTCTCAAAGCTCCCATAGCCGTTGTGGGTAGAGGTTAAAACTGACTGGAGAAGGAATTTCACTTGGTTGCGGTAGGTACAGACTTAAAAATTGTGTATCGACAATATATGAACAACAGCGGGTTAAAAAAAAAAAGTATCCTTGCACAGTTAGTGACCAAATTAATACTTTGGTATTTTCTATTTTTTTCTTTCCTCTTTTTTGCCTTTTTTCTCCTAACCCATCATTTTAGTTTAAATGGATTTCTTAAGAATTACTTCCAAGTGTTGGATGCTATATTATCACCACAGGAGAAAATTGCTCTGCCACCCCTTGTTTCCATTCTTTCCAGTTTTCGTTCCAAGTACAATGGACAAAACTCCACCTCTGTGACCCTCCTCCCATCTGTTTGCATGTTCGTGCTTTTAACAGAATGCTTGGAAAAATGTATTAGCTTACTGTATTTGTCTACATGTGTCTCCAGAGACCTGATGGTTAGATCTTCAAGGCTGGGGGGTGACTTTGCTCAGTTCCTGGCAGGGAGCTTACTCACAGCAGATGTTCCAGGCATTAGCAAACTGTGCTTAGGGTCCAGAGGGAACAAAGATGAACAAGACATGACACCTTGTCTTTAGGGGCTTCCAGTCTAACAGGGAAAAGACTACTGCACAACAATAATTCCAATGCCAAGTACAAAAGGGTAAGTTAAATTAGAAAAAAAGTTATGTGGGAGTAAGAGCTCGTGAGGGCAGGCAGAATTTTACATTCCACAAGATTTAAAAAAAACTTTACTGAGATATACTTTAAATAACATAATACCCACCCATTTCAGTGATATTTTTAGTATATTCATAAAGTAGTGCAACCATCACCACACACTCATTTTAGAAAATTTCCACACTACCCCCAAAGAAACCTGTACCTCCCAATTTCCTCTTCCTCCTGTCATCTGATAACCAGTAATCTACTTTCTATCTCTATGGATTTCTCTATTTCATGTAAGTGAGATCACTTTTGACTATGGCCTTTTGACTGGCTTATTTTCTTACCATAACACTTTCAGAGTTCATCCATGTTGTAGCATGTGTCAGCATGTTACTCTTTTTATTATTGAATAACATTTTATGATATGGACCTAATACATTTTGCTTAGCCATTAAGCAACTGATGACTACTTGGATTGTTCCACTTTTTGGTTATGATGAATAATGCTTCTATGAATATTTGTTTACAAGTTTTCATTTACCTTGAATATGTTCCGAGGAATAAAATTTCTGGATACTTGATAATTCTGTATTCTATAGCATTTAAATAGAATATGTTAATTAAAAACTCATCTTGAACCCTAAGATAGCCCCCTCCCCCAAAATCTTTACTATAAAGCTATACTTGTGAATTTTGTTTCTAACTGTATAGAAACATTTCTCCAAATATCCCTAAAATTCTCTAATATCATACTTCCTCACCTAAGCTTAAATTGAGTTCTAGGTATTTTGTCTATAATGCCAGACATTGTTTTTATGGAAGGTGAGTGATACATTGGAATTTATTTTCTTTTCTCTGAAGTTTCCCTTAAGTATGCTTTGTCTAATTTCATAAAAAGAGCTAAATGAAACTCTGTGCCTTAAAAAAACATAAGTTAAGTTTTAACTTAAGAAGTTAAAACAGGAGACTTGAGGCTTAGCTAACTGTTCATTAGCAGTGTCCCTGGGCAAGTCACTGGACTGAGCTAGTCAGTGCCTGTATATAACCATTCCTACCTCGCAGGGTTGTTGTAAAAGGAAACATTGTGGATTGAATGTGTTTTGTAAATACCAAAGAGCTATATAAATGTAAGGCACCTCTATGTCTAGTTCCTTGAGTTATATATTCATTTTTATTAAATAATTTCCACATAAAGCAATTTCATGGGAATGGAAATCTGATTCAGAATTTATCAGCAGTTGAAAATTGTAGACTCACTTTAGTTATTCATGTTCTTTTGCTTATTTGGCACTATCAACTCACATATCAACTCATAAGATAAAAAGATTCAGTTCCAAACCAAACAGAATGCGCACTTCAAATCTTTCTCTCTCTATATATGTATATGTGTGTGTGTGTACGTGTGTGTATGAGATTTGCATGATTATTTTAATACATACATACATACACACACATAACTGAGTTTGTTATAACAGTGTCCATGGTTAGTTTTCCAAACTGACAGATGACTAGCTTCTTTTATTTGCATTCAAGAAGCAGTATCTATGGTTATAAAGACAGATTCCAAGAAGATTTAAATGCTAAATGTATTTGAAGCTTAGCACTATAAATTTGTAGAACAAATAAAGAAACTGAAAGAGTAAAAGTCCCCCAAAAGTTTTGAGAATAATGCATGGGCTTTCACTTAGACCCTAAATGATGTTGGGGAAGATAACAATATAGTTTTTGAATGGAAATGACCAAATTCCTGCTGGAATATCTTTCATTTAGATTTTTCTAATATTTTTGAAGCCACATTTAATTACCATAGCTGTTACTTTATTTTATAGTAGAGATTTCTGGAGGCTATTTTTTTTCCAAAACTTCCCCTGTGCATTTTTAGAACTGACTCTACTACATTAATCTTGTGGATCTGAGATCACTTTATTGCACATGGCAGGGTATTTTGGTATTATGCTAGAAATAGTTCCTGCAAATTCACAAAGACCCATTTTATTGCTAAGATGGAGGAAGTATTTGCATTGTCTTTTGTAACTATTGCTTATACAAGGAAAATATATGAAAATTTCCAGAGATATCAATTAACTAAAATGTATTTTGTCACCTTTGTAAATGTCACAATGTACTTCTAACCCAGCACAACAATAAAAAATAAAATAATAAAAAATTACTTTGTCCAACAGGCATATAACACCAGCCACAATAAAAATATTTTAATAGCCAAAGTTAATTCCATTATAAACTGTTTTGGGCAACTTGGTAATTATAATACTTGAAGTAATAGATCTCTCTAACTTTAAATTAAATTCCAGATTTATGCAATTATATGAAAATGTTTATTTAGTACCTTTTATGTGTAAGACACAAGTCTGAGACCATTTAAAACTGGAATCAGATCACAGTGATAGACTAGTAACTTAAAGTTGACAAAGATATCAAATTTTCAGGTTGTTCTTAAGCAACAGCCAATTACTGATCACTAATTAATATCAGTAGCAAATAGTAATGGAATAATAAGGTTTTCAGAAATTAACTAGTCTACCTATCTGTCTCTAAACTAAACTTATACTTAGAGTATCCTACATGGCTGGGCATTTATGGATCACTTAAGTGCTTGCACTGGGAAAATGATATCCCAGCCTTTCTCACTTATTACTCTAGTGCATGCTCTTAGTACTTTCCTTTGACTTAACGTTTGTGATTAGTGGAATCACGATGTTTTCCGCTAAGTGCTAAGCTGCTTTACATATGAATCATTCTTTATCAAATTCATATAAGAACTAGAAATACACTATGTATAGTGAGTATCCAACTATTAAAGGAGAAAATGTTCTTTTAATTGAAATATATATATATATTTTTTTTTGGTGGACTGGGATTTGAACTCAGGACTTCATGCTTGCAAAATAGGTGCTCTACCACTTGGGCCACACCTCCAGTCCTAAAGTATGCATTTCTAAAACTTTAATTCCTTGAAGTTTATGGTAGAGATGTTTCAGCTCTGGTTGGTGATGCTGAATGAAAGCAGTTTTTACTACTCTGATACCTATTGATTTTTGCTTTAGACTTATACATTGCTTTAGTGTTAATCGTGTTTAAAAAGAAATTGACATAACTGACTTCAAACCTGTAAAAGCAACCCTTACTGTTTGTTTGTTTTCTCCCCAGTTACTTGGACATAGGAGAAATCAAGAAAAGGCCAATGGAAGTTGTTAATACAGAGGTAATGGAAATTCTATTTTGAAAGTTCAGATAAATAAAAGTGCCTTTTTGTTGTTGTGTTGTGATGTGTCTCAGAGACTTGAACGGCATTCTGATGATAAGAGATGAGTTCTCAAATGTAATAAATGGGACATTATGTGTTTAAGGGAAAAATGGTGCTTTCTTTGGGTCATTGTCAAAAATGAAGAGACTAAGTAGGTGTTCTAAAAAATGCAAGATCAGATGGAACATATTCTTATTTTCCATTTTCTAGTTACATGTTCTCTGGCTAAAGTGCACAGAAAATTTCCCTGTCAAGTATGAGAAGATTCTAATACTGTTAAATAAACCTTTATCCAAACTCCATCCCATATTCCAACTTGCTCCTGATGGCTCAGTGTTTGAAACAGCCAGGATCACCCTGGCTCTCAAAGGAAACAAGTAGATGCCATGTTGGACCTGCTGTGACCTCAGGAAAACACCTCCACTTTAACCTGTTTTAAAGTTCCCTTGAGAATAGTCAGCAAAACTTACATGAAGCTTGGAAACAAGTCTTGTGAAACAGATAACCAGAATAGCACATTCCACATAGTTTCTGAAACCGCAGTGCAATTTCCACTAATTCTGTAGGATGTACTTCTTGGATTTTGATGAAAAAATCCATTTAAAACAATAACAGTCTTAAGTGTTTCAGTGAGACAGGGAAAGTTGTATTTAGACATAAACAGGACTCTATCAGCCCAGACTGTTACTCATAACCAAGTGCTTCCAATGCAAGAGTTCCACTACACATATCTCCCTCTCTTTTCTTTGGGGCT